ACTCCGGGCAAAATAAAATTTCCCGGACGCATTGTTCTTCACCGACTCATGCTCAGCGCTAGAGAATGTGGGAAACGACTTGACGGAGACCGCGATGGTCACTGCCATGTTGGACAGTAGGCAGCATCCATGTCTTACAGTATCGCTTCGCACGTAGAGGCAGACTTCTTAGCCAAAGAAGGCGCGGCTCAAAATTCAACCAGATAAACCTATCTTAGCTGGTTAAAGGATCATTTTAGGAAAACATTGCACGGATGTTGGGAACAGGAGCTACTGGATGACAGCTGCACCGGAAAATAAAAACGACCGAGCTAGAGCGACCCCTCGTGGGAACTTAAAAGAGGAGACTCATCACCCAGATGAGGACTGAGCTGCGCGACACGCAGTTATCTCCACAGATTGGACGACAGAAGGGAACCAAGCTGCCGTCTTTTCGGTTAGGCAGACGAGATGGTGGCTCATTTGGTGATCACGTGCCCATGTAGTGTGATGGGGGCTGACGGGAGGGAACCTGAAGCCTGCCTTGATAATTATCTTTACGGTCACGCCTAGCAGATGAGGTGAGCCGCAGAAATCTTGGCCAGGAACATGAGACAAGTCTTGACCCAAAGAGTATTGATATTTATTAGGAAAAGAAGAAAAAGTAATCTGTTAATTTAGAACTAAAAAAAAAAAAAGACAACCAACCAAAATACTAAAAAAGATAGCAAAGAGACAGTTACATCAGATCTAGTGCGCATACAGTTGTATTTGACATTTACTATTCACATATTTCACATTTCTCCCACAGTGCTTCTTTTACACAGGGGGGGGGGATTTATGTCAGATTTATTTTTTTTGGTTGGGATGGGGGGCAGAATTGAGAAGGGTAGTGCCATTGCTAGATAATAGTGGCCAAAGGCGTAGCTAAGGAGGGGTTCCAGACTAGCCTTGGTGCCATACTCTTCTTTGGTGGTTGAAAAAGTTTCAAACAATGCAGAGGTAAAAATGAATCTTTTTCCCTGACGCAAAACACTGTCAGTTTCACTTTTCATACAAATTTTAACGTTTTGAGGGAGGCAGTATGGCGCCGAGTGCTAAATTAACTCCGATTGCAGCGTACCCCACAGTAATCATTTGATACAAGCTCATTTACAACCCCTATTGTAACATTTATCAATGTGTAGAAAACGAAGGTGCTGAAAACGTCGGGGAATTTAAATATGAAGCATTTTGGCGCACACTTGAATTCGATATTTCTTTCATATGATTTCAGGTGAGAAGCGCAAAATTTAGCAATAATAACCAAAGACATCCCTAACTTCGCACTTGCTTAATTCATCACAGTCATGTTGACCTGGAAGTATGCCTTTGCCTTCTAGGCCCTTTACAGCTGTGTCACATTTACAATGTCTTGAAAATAAGATCAGAGGCGTAGTGGTCTACTTTGTTACACACGATCACAATAATTATAATAGTAATAGTCATTACGAAATACGTCATCATCTCATGCCGAACGTACGAAAACACTTGGAATATATCATATCATGTATTCAATACTAGCTTCTCGGTAAAGGTCTTTACTTGATCAACACTATAAATCTCCATTTAAACATAAACGTTTTCTGTTCATTCAATCTTCTTGCACAAACTTCATCAATTCATCGGTCATATTATTCAACATCCATTTTTTCTCCTTGCTCTCATCTCATTGACTAGATTTCTCTCTAAGCCAAACACTGTATTAATATACACAAACTCTACTATATTACTTATCTACCATATATTCATATGTGTTACAAGTCCCCGGAAAAGTTTTGATCAATTCAAAATACAAAAATGCACTTTAGCAAATGGAAGAGATACTAGTTTAAACATTTAGGTGTCACTTTAGTAGTTTTTTTTATTTTTGTAATTTCAAACTATTATAACTTTTTAAAGATAATTGCAAACTACCTCTTGGATATACTTTAAAAAAAAATTATTACAGAATGGACAGAAATTATTTAAATTGACGATTCAGAAATAAGAATTTTTTTTTTTAAAGAAGTATTTAAAAAAAAAAAAAAAACAAAAAAATAAAAAAACAAGATAAAAAAAAAATTCATTTTTTAAAAAAAAAAATATTAACAAATGGAAAGAAAATATTTAAATTGACAAATCAAAAATAAGAATTTTTTTTTTTAAAGAAGTATTTAAAAAAAAAAAAAAAAGCCATGATATTAAAATGCTAGTTCATAAAAATCTTCCTTTTTTACAAATTTTATTTTCCCTACTAAATCTTTATCTAGAAAAAAATATTAATTCGCAGATGACAGCGGTGTATTGGACGATCGCCAACAGATGTGACCAGGACCAGCTACAACAGGATCTCAAACGGTTAGCTGAGTGGGAGATGAGCTGGGACATGGAATTTCACCCTGCCAAGTGCAAGATATTAATCAGCCTCTGGAAGTTGTACTCCTCTACACCAGTGGTTCCCAAACGTTTAAGTTTGGCGGACTGGTGAACAAGTTTCGAAATTGCATGATTTATTTTTATACTTTTATTTCTATTTGACAATAAATATTTATGTTATGGGGACCGGCAGCTCTACACTACCAATACGAACTGCATGGCAGTTGATAATGTGAGCCGTGTGTGCTCAGGTTTTCATGCTATTGCATTCTTGAGCCAGTGTTACCATTCAAAGAGAGGTCATATGGGACGAGTAATTAACAGGCAAAGAAGACCCTTGGGTTCTTAAGGCGTAATCTAAATATTGGCAATTCCTGTGTGAAAAGAAAGAGCCTATACAGCCTTTGTCAGTCTAGGACCAATTTACCCAGAACATTGAGATGTTGGAGGCGGTCCAGCAACAGGTAGCACGCTTTGTCCTGAACCGCTACAGGAATACCTGTAGTGTTGGCTGCATGCTGGAACCAAGCGGGTGACTGGGTGGCCAAGTGGTCTAAACTGAGCAAACCTCAAGTTGGTGGTCTGGTGTTCAAGTCCAGCCAAAGGCCAGTCAAGCAAAAACATCACCCCGGGTGGATGAGACTCGTTAACCTTGGTCGGCAACTCATCTAAGAGAAGGAAACTCTGAATTCAAACCCGGAGTTGTAGTCCCGTAAGGCGCAGACAATTCCTGCAACCGAACCCATCCCTGGTCGTCTTGACGTAGAGTCTTGCCACTGGATATGATGGGCTCGGACGAGAGAGTGAGGTAGACGCCGCGCAACTCTTCTTCACTTGAAACAAATTCACCCGCGCAAGTCATCAGGCACCAGACGACTCGATGGTCCTCGTCGATCCTCGACGGACGAACAATAATGCTGGAAACACGGGGCTTGTCACTATTGGAGGAACGACGACGACAATCCAGGCTCTCCATAATGTAAAGGGCTAGTCCACTGATCCAGCATTAAACATAAACTCATCCTTCTCCCCCATAGACAGCGACGAGGCCATGACAGGCAATTCCGTTGATACCAGCAACAAGCTAGTATAGGAACTGCTCATTCCTGCCAAAGACAATCAGGGACTGGAACAAGCTTTCAAAAGGAACAGTTGAGGCGACAACACATTTGAGTCTATGTCCTCAAGCCTTACAACTCCCTGTGCATGATTCCCTCACAAAGTAGCACTTGCAATCAATGAGTTATCATCAACAACAGAAACAAAGCAAATCCCCTCTACTTGCATAGAGCAAAAATGATCAATAAATTGATCGTGGACCCTTCAAATTGTAATTTTAAAATCTTCCTTTTAGCTCAACATATTATATTGAGTAAAATAAAATTATTCTAATAACTATATTGTTTTAAGCTCAATACTCAGCTCATACGATCAAATTTTCGATCACACATTTGATGCGTTTTTTAAATGAAGCTTTGTCACAACTATGCACATTTTTTAATACCGGTATTATTACGTCACGTTCATATGACATGTGCACACAAAAAAGAATATATAACAAACAAAAAAAAATGCTATTCTATCCTAATAAACATATGAGAGAGAGAGAGAGAGAAAGAGAGAGAGAGAGAATTTCTTCTGGTATCAAATTTAATATGAAAAAGAAAAAATACAAATTCTTGATTTAAAAAAAAAAAAAAAAAAAAAAAA